GGGGCGGCCGGGCGGGCGCTGCCAGGTACGGAGCTGGGCTCCGGCCCGGGGCGGACCCGCCGAGCCGTTTTCGAAGGCGACGGCGCGACGTCTTACCCCGAACGCTTCTTCTAGCATCTCTGCAGAAGGGAGGGGGGAGCGGGCTGCGTCAGCGCAATACTAACTCACCTGTAAAAGCAGTGAAGTTAAAACAGATCTTTACACCGAGTAAAAATTCACTAACTGCAAAGCAGATACACGCTAAATGTAAAGCTGAAAGAGTGATTTGGGAAATCACATGATAAAAGAGAGCAAAATGAAGAGGAGAGAGTAACATTTTCCACATTATCAGAAAAGATAAAATCTTTTCACTGAAGAAAAAACGGAGGAAAAAATCTAGCCTTGAGAGAAATACGGTGGAATTATTGTCACTTAAAGTAGCAACCTACTCCGGTCACTGTTAGGGACACAGGTTTACAATGGACATGGCACAGAGGTTCCCACACCCAAGCAGTCATATCTGTGTCTGACAGACATACTAAAAGCTGAAAAAAATCTGGTTAATACTCATTTAATTCTGGGTTCCTTCATAAACAAGAGATTCTCTTGCTAAAAACAAATATTTAAAGGTAGTGAGAGAAAAAAAGAGATACTGTTAATTCAACGAGGCAGTAAATAAAGTGTTTTAACACTTTGCCTCAATTCGTTTAATTTATTTTTTCTTCCAACTATATGCCAGTGTTTTCTTCATGTCAATTTTGTGCATATGTAGGTACACAACAAGAAAAATGTCAACAAAAATGTTTGTAACTTTGGGTGGAAGAAACTTGAAAAAGTAACCTACTCACAGTAAAAAATTAGACCACAATCTTCTTGGATGAATAGTTCCCCTCCAGCTAGATCAGAGTTATCCAAAAGTTATGAGTACAACCCATCAGATATTAAGATATTATTTTGATATAACTAAAAGTAATTTAAGTCAGTTCATTACTATGTGTTTCCTAAATATAATTAATGCCCTCAACATATCTTTTTAAGGTGAGCAAATAATACTATGCCCATAAAGAAATACCATATAAATCCTGATCTTGCAGACATATGTTAGTGCTTAGATCTTGTGTAAGTGAGGAATCCCACCAGATATACATTTATCCTGTTTAGGACAGGGGTATCTTTAGGGGTGTCCCAGTGAGGCAACAAGCTGAAGCACCCACCACAGAGTGCCCTAGACAACTTCACACTGCGTTGCATGGAATTCCTTTGGGAATGCTGGCTGTCCCGTGCCCCACTCAGTCACGTCCTTTTGGCACACTGCTCCTATCTGTAGCTCACCCTGCAGCCCTAAGAGCCACCACCACTTTTTGGTGTCTATACCAATCTGACTTAATAAAAATGAAGCCACAGGCAGATCACTGAATTTCAAGGCCGATGAACAAGGGAGCCGCACGCTCCCCTGAGGCACAGGCAAGGGAAAAGAAGTGAATCAATGATGTTGTCAAGTCAGACATGGAGCTCTGTAACTGTTCACGACGTTGGTCAGCGCTAAGGGAGACTCCAGTACAGTGTAAGCCAGACCAAGCTGTTGGAGGCTGCTACCAATGTGTTCTGCCTTGCCATCTCTCAGCAGTGGGATTGTGTTCTTTCCCAGCCAAGGGCTAACGGCAAATTTCATGAAGAAGAAAGCCACGAGCTAGTACAGGTTCTGAGGGTGGGAGCACACCTATTGCTGGGCTGCTATCCCATCCTGTCCTGTCCAATCCCATCCTGTCCCATGTGGAAGCTAGCCACACCATATCCTGTGTGGCAGGGTCACCAAGTGTAACATTACCATGGTTGCTATGATCTGCAGAACAACCTACTGGTTAGTCTACCCCCTCATTATTGTCCAAGACATCCACGGTAATATTGCCTTGCATTCATGAGGCATGGGCTGTCTTCCTGTTTTGGGGACCATAGACAAGACGCACATTCTCATCCACCCATCATATCAGTTGTGGGACACAATTGTATCATTTCATAATCTCCAAAGTCTTACTAATCTCTGAGGGCAATACATAAGAATGGGGGCCAAGGTTGTGGTGCAAGGTCAGGGTTCATTACTGTGTGTTCCATACAGTCGCACGGATCCTTCCCAGATCTGGAAACGACATTTCAGTGCCCACCCGTCCTGCAGGGAGGCACTTGCCAGGATCTTCAGGACTTCCTTATTTCCTCTCATGCTGTTGCAGTTTCCATGGTTTATACTGCTGTAGCCACATGGTCAAAATTTTTAAAAATTAAATGCAGATACATCAGAGACCAAATAAAACTAAAAGTTCAGTGGAGTTAGGCTTGCCTTGGGTCCTCTACCCCAATGGAGTAATCAGTAATCAGCCACTTAATGAACTTCACCAAATATGCTATGTGTTACAAAATTCAGACAATGCTACAGTTGCCTACAGGGTTTTCCCTGGATATCAAAATTCTCCGCTGTTTTTTTTGTTCTTACTGCCAAAGTATCCAGCTTGTCCTGGGGACACTGTATGCTGTAGTAGTAATAGGACATTAAAATCTCAGTTCTTGTTGGCTTTGGCAAAGAAATATTTTGGTTGACACAGGCTGACACAGAAGCGTACAAAGCCATCTAGCAAAACAAATCTATCATCAAAGGAATCTCTGTCTTCTTTTGGACCAAGTCTCTTAGCTGTCATGAGTCTACTCTACACCTGATTTCCAGGCAGAGGGTACAAGACACAGTTGTTTCATCCAGCAAACAACATTGCCTGACATTGTCCAGAGGCAGCTTGTCAACTCTGAGCAGCAGCGTTAAAATCCTCTTCCAGCTTAATCACTGGTTTTTCACGACCAATCTTGATGACCTAATATGACTCGGAGCACCACAAAGGAGTCCTTACTTTTCACAACATGGCCTGGTTTTCAGGAAGAGACTAGGGATGTGTATCCCCTCTTTAAGGACCATACCGCTGCGGTGGTTTGTTGCAACCTCTCCCCCACTTTTATTCCAACTTCAGCGTTATTTTTTATGTATCACTGTGCATGGACTAAGCAAAGGAATAATAGGTTTTTTGGCGGGCAGAGAAGTAGTCCCAAGATTTGAGTCATTTCAGTGGGTTTTCATAAGCCAAATAATTTTTATTGGGTGTACTAAAGGTATCCTTGTGCTACTGTCCTTTACTAATAGGCTACTCTGCATTAGCTACTCCACAGTAATTGTGTTTCAGGCTCCTAAACTAGAGGAAGGCTGATTTGTTACATTGCTCTTTCGCTGAGGGCAAAGTATTTTGAATTACCTTTAATTTAGTAGGAAAAAAAGCATGAACGTAGATATTGACATTATAAGCTTTGGCATGTCAACTGCTCTGTGGCAGCAGTCGTTGTCCATAAGGGGTTAATGGAAGGAATAAATATCTTCCCAGCAATTTCAACCCAATCTTGGTGAGATGCTGCAGGACTGTGTCCTGTTTGCAAGGTCTGTGCTGTGACCACACTTGCCTCCCAGCTTGCTGTTCCTCCTAGAGCAGCCTGTCAGGGCTGAGGGCACTGATGGGCCTGACTGCCCCTGCCTGGCCTCCCCTAGGACCTCCCCCGACCCTGCCCACAGCCCAGGACCCCGTGTCAGCCCCCAGGAACATCAGTCCCTGCCCCAGCACTGCCACACTGGGGCTGGTCTCCAGCTCCCCACAGCCCTGCCGCGTTAAGCCAAGCCTGACACCCAGGCTGACTTCCTGGCCCAGCCTCGGCCCATCCCAGTCCCCAGGGAGGTGCCCAGTGCCTGGGGTTGGGGTTGGTGCTGCCCCAGATCCTCCATGCTGCCCTGCTCCTGGCTGGGCCAGCAGGACAGAATGGGCTGCCAGGCCCTGCCTGCTGCCCTAGGGAGGATCCCCTGTGGCTCCTGGTGCCTGGCCCTGAGGAAGCCGCTAGCCTTGTGGTGCCACGCTCTGGCTTCTCCTAGACACCTTCTGGTCCTTCTGTTCAACAATTTCCTGAACAGGCAGGCAGATGATGGAATGAAAAGTATATTTGTAAAGCTAAAGATAACCCCAGGCTAGGGAGGCCTGTGAACTCTCGATGAGAATTTAAATTCAGAAGAGAAAAACACAAGTAGCTACACGCAATAAGACACACCCTGCATGGCAGAAAAATGGGAATATTGTGCAATTATTCCTTTACTTTGCATTTATAGAGTTGTCTGGAATATATCTGTGAAGAAAGAAGTAGACAAACTAAGGATTATCCACAGGATAGCAAGGAAAGCAGGAGGTTTAGAAACATGACCTGTGTTGAAGGAATGATGGAACAGAGTTGCTTAGCTTAATCAAGACTGCAAGTATTTTAAGCTGTAAAAAAGAACAATAATCAGTAGTTCTGACCACATCAGTTCTGAAAAGTGATGGCATCTAGCAGCTTAGAGCAACTGGCAGTGTTCCACCCCATGTAGAATATTAATAAATGTTCATTTTTCATATACTAAAAAATGTTAATGTATTAAAAGTATCACCAATGTGTA